AAAAAGACTTTTTTAACACTACAAAATGATATAAGATGCTGTGTTATTTCAGTTTTACTGCTCAAAAGGATTTTTAATGCTTCATTTTTCTTTTGGGGGAAAATTTAGCTCACTACTTGATCTTTATTTACATTCTATTATCAAAAATCACATTCTGAGATGATGGTGATAACAAAATATAGTAGATGGGAAAATAGTTGCCTATTCTCTTGACAAAAGCAAGTGATGATTTATGAAGGATAAAAAAGAGTAGGGATTTAATTTATGCTACTAACTCAGGAAGAGATACAAGAATTTGTAAATATGTGAAAACAATTCAGCTTTAATTTGCACAGGGAAAATACTAAACTCTTGAAAATATATAGAAGGAAACTCCCTGTGGGTTTATGGCAAAGTTACATAGGGATTTTTCTCTTCCTATCATTCAGGTATATCCTATATACAAAAATAATATAAAACACAAAGTTCCTGGTAACAAAACACTGGTGTATATTCAGTAATTTGCCCTTCCACATTTTTTTTTTTTTTTAATATTGGGAAAGCCAAGCTGAAGATTTCTACAAATAATTGAGCATTACTTTGCCCTGTACTAAAACACAACCCCTACAAAGAAAAATTACATAGTGAATTTTCAGCTGATCCCTCAATAAGATATTTTAAAAGCACACTACATCAGCAAAGGTATTATAGCATATAAGCCTGAACCTGCTTACCCAAAAATAAATACACTGGTTATGAATCCTGTCTATTTCTGAGGATTCTTATTAACCAGTATTTTGAATTAGGAAGTTTGGTATATTTTACTATTTTCTTAGTACTACTAAGACCAAATTTTGTCACTACACAGATCCTGCCAATCTCCATCATTATCCTGCCTTATTATACTTCACATAAATTATTTTCCCAAATTATATATTTAGTTGTCTGACTCCTTCAATCTTAGCCTTCATTACAGCAAAGACCTTACTTATTTACTGATCACTAAAATTCTGACATTTATAAAAAAATAATTTTTTGATGAATAAAAGAAACAAGAAAAAGTGATGTAGGTATTAAATTTCTTTCCTGTACCAATAAATCCATAGAACACATAACTTGTATTTCTATTAAAAACTATTGTGTCTTTATTTGAGGACGCTTGTCAAATTTCAGGACAAGTGTAAAACTCAAGGTACAATTAAAAATGAAAAAACTGATATTCTACATCAAGGCTTTTTCAGAAACTAAGTGCTAATAAGACATACTACTTTATTAACTTCTATTTCAAAGACATTCAACTACTTAAAAAAATCATGATTTGACAAAAAGTATTTCCTATGCATTACACAGAAAGAAAAATGTAAGTGCATATTTTTACTGAGATATGAACAATATATCCACAAATAACTAATATTTTTGACTCTTATATGACTTGGCTTTGGCAGCCACTTTAAGAGACTGAATACTTCTATTACATTATTGTATTATGTTTAAAGGAAAACTAAGAATCCATTTAGAGTAATCATCACTTATTGTTGTTGCAGAAGAGATTTCGTTTCTTTAGAAAAATGTATGTGATATATTGCTAGATAATCTATAATCCCATAGTTTACAAGAAAAAATTTTCAAATATTTTTAAAAGACAAACTATCTGAAAAGTAGCTCCTGAAAACACAGCTTTCAATTTCAGCATCTTGCTTCAAATGACTTTGATTATAATAGAATAATCATATATAACACAGTATATGATATTTATTTTATAGGCATATTATTACTTAAGGCTCTATTTTAATATTATTCATGTATATTAGTATTACCAGACTGTTCTCTGAAGAATATTATCTTGAGAAGTATCAAAAAAAAAAAAGAAAAAGAAAAAAAACAAAAGTACTCAGGACAGTAAAGAATTTGAGAAATTCTGAGTGAGAAGTTTTCAATAATTTAAGTCCCACCTATGATAATTTGCAGACCACATTTGTGAAGAGATAGTACAGAAAAAGCTTTATAAAATAATTCAACAGGTCCAATACAATGATCTCTATGATAAACAAAAGATGCAATGGAGTCTTTCTTTGCTATTTTAAAAATTATAGATATTCAAATTTATTTTAAAAATTGAGGATGGAAGGTAACAGCAACATAAAGTTATTTATCTCAAAGCAAAATAAAACAAATATTAACCATAATTATTGGTTAAATATTATAAGTTTGATAAAATTCAGACACATAAACTTGGATGCTATAATCTACGTATCAAATACATGAATGATTAAGGAAGAATTAAAAGTAAGTTGAGCATAGTCACATTATGAATAATGGATACTAGGAAAAAAGTAAAGTAGGCACGATATTGCTGAAAACACTACTTTCTAAGCATAAAGGTAACGGGGGAAAAATGATGTAGGCAAAAACTACAAGAAAACATTATAGAACAAAAATAAAACACTTACCTATATGTCAAGTATAATAATAAAAAGCTTAATTTGGTAAAGGTATTTAAGGGAAGGAATGATGTATAATGAGCTAATCTGTAAATCAAGTGAAAAGAACTATGAGAGCACAAATTACAAAGAAGGAAATACAAAAATGAATTGTAAGTACTTAAAAAGGTCCTAAGACATTAGTACTCGAGTAAATGCGAATTCATATAATACAACAGGACTTTTAATCTTCTAAATTAGCAAAACTCGCAAAAAGTGAGAATTCTCAACCAAGGCACAATTATAACCCAATGTTGAGAGCTATGGAAATTACAACATTTTTGGACATCAGTTGGGTAACTTGTATCCCAAATCTTAAAACATTTTTCCTTTTCTATTCTGTATCTTAATGAAGAGATATATTTTCTACTTATGTGTGCATAAACACATTGATCACAATAGAAAGTGAAAATGATTACTTCATGACTTTATTACTGAATTACCTAAATTAGGGTATGACATATCAAATGGATTCAATTGCATAGATATTAAAAAATACAGACTAAGAACAACACAAAACATTCAGAAAATTCAGCAAACTAACATAAGATACTAAGCTGCATATTTACTAGGAACACAGTGAATTTAAAACTGAAAGAATATGTCAAAATGTTAACAAGTGATTCTTTGTAAAGGGAGATTAGGGATAGTGATCTTTTGATTTACTCTTTTGGGTGTTTTCAATAATGAAAAGTATTATTTTAAAATGGAAACATAAAATAAACCTATTCTTTAAAATGGAGCTTTCCTTCAAGAGAAAAAAATAAAATTTAAATATTATCAAGATTCCACTGGTAATTTCATTAAAACTTCAATTTTCCAAATCCATGTAATGGAGAAATCCAGAGAAGTATGACATAGGCCCTTAGGCAAAAATCCTAACAATGGAGCCAACTTGCCATCTAGTAATTCATGTAGAGGAATCTTAAACAACCCTGGAGCAAATGTTCAAATAACAGAATGTTCCATAACTTAGGCAGCAAGATAGTAATTCACAATTATTCCACAAGCATATTTTAAATATAAATACTAAATCCTTTTGATTTCCATTTTTATTAACACTTTTTAAGATATTTTTGAGAATATTCTCTTCATTTCAAATGTAAACAAGAACGTATGCTTAAGTGATTTTTCTTTCTTAGAAGAAAAATGCAATACATTAAGATGTTCAGTTTCCTTAATTAAACATAAAAATCTTCCTGTAAAAATGAGAGAAGGCAAAGCACATCTCTCTCTACCCCTGGGGAAACTTTAGGTGAATCTGCAGCCATGAATTGTAATCTATGGTGAATCTGCAGTGAAGCTGATGGATTTTAATTAACTCCTTCTGCAATCCTTAGTGGTATGGAGGTAAAAGGGCCAGAAATTTCAAGTATTAAAAATATAGCTACAATTTACTTAATGAATTATTTTGCTTCTAAATTAGTAGTATCGTTTAGCTTTGAAAATATATAGATGTTTCTGTAATGCTAAAAAAAAAATTTAAAGTATTTTTTCCAAAAACTTTCTATTAAAAAATTGAAATTTTATAAAAGTATTAAAAATAGTATAGTGAACATATCCTTTCCTATAAGTACCCGTTACCAAACTTTAGCAATAGTAATTTAGAACCAATCTGTTTTGTCTATGAGATCACCTACTTCCCAGTCCCTACAGACTATTTTGATTTAAATCCCAGACATTCTGTCTTTTTGCCTGTGAAATTTCAGTATGAGTTTCTAAAAGATACTCTGGAACATATTGATAACAATATTATTACATATACAAGACAAAAAAAATCAAAATTTTCTGACTACTTTTTTCTACAGTTTTCTGATGGGATTGGGGTATCTATAAGTTCCACATACTGCAAATGGATGTAGTCTATGCCTCTTAAAGTCTCTTGGATTTTTGTTTGTTTGTTTGGTTTGGGTGCTGTTCGTTGAATTCAGAGCCTCTGGAATGTAAGGCAAAAGCTCTATCACTAAGCTGCCCTCCTAACCCACACTTTTAATGTTTTAATCCATTACTTTTTTCCCTTTCATGGGATATTTTGTTAAAGAAAACCAGGTAACATGTCCTGTAGAATTTCAGAGCCAGTTTCCAAGATTATAAAGCTACTTATTGACAAACATCATTACAGATTGGTTTCTGGAGTAATAGTGAAAAAAATGAGAATAGGCTAGAAGACTAAATCACAAATGTGCAACATTAAGACAGCACTTATTAGCAAAGTCAAGGTAGAAAAACCCATAAGAAAACAATTGCTCTAACGTTTAACTACAGAAACAGGTAGTCAAATTTTAGTTTTTCACCAAACACATTAAAATGCTAATAAAGTAACCCATTTAAATGTGTGTGTGTGTGTGTGTGTGTGTGTGTGTTTGTGTGTGTGTGTGTGTGGGGGGGTGTTTGTGTGTGTGTGTGTTGGGGAGGATACTGAGAAGCAAACCTAAGGCCTTTGCATTCTAGCAATTATTCTTCCTCTGACTTACATCCCCAGTCCAAACCATATACATCTTAAGGGTACATAACTTGAATAGCAAATTTGATAGTACTCACCAGTCTTCATTTCTAGTAAGCGCTTTTTCTTTTGCTGGCGTTCAAGTCTTTCTTTCTCTGCTAATTCTTTAGCTATTCTGGCACGTTTTTCTTTTTCCTCTGCTTCTCTTTTTCTGATGTTCTCCTTTATTGCTTGCTATTACAAATAAATTTCAAAAAATGATCAATTTTAACCAGTGATTCTAAAGAAAATGAAAAATTATCAATCTGAAATTATATGCAAGTTAGAACCATGACTAAATATCATTTAAATAATGATTAGTTCTTATATTAGTAACAGTCTTTTAAAAGGTATGCACATATACCTGTGTTAAATATATTTTATGCCTATAAATACACCATAATGTTTAAAACACCTGCATCTAAGTGGAATTAACTAACCAAAAGGGAGAAGAGAGACAGAAACTAAAAATAAGAACATTTAATTCACAAATCAAATGAGCTTTCTAACATATTTTAAAAAGTGTCTTGCAACTGTATTTGTGTCTTCCATACCTTCGTTGCTTTAAGTAAGTTATTAATATAAGGAAAATGGTTAAGGAAATGATAGGAACGATCTGAAATCTATGGCTACTTTATATTATGATCAATAATTTTTCAATTTTCTCATAAGGGGAGAAGTATTAAAAAGATAACTAAATAAATATTTGGTATTTCAAAAAGAGGTACTCTTGATGAAAGCCAATAACAACATGCTAATTAAAATAAGTTCTCAATCAATATGTGATTAGTTACTGAACTCCTTATTTCTAAATTTTATACAAGAAATTCATTTCATGTGGCATCAGCAGGAATCAGAAGGTAAAGATGGATTTTTGTTAAGTGCTAATAAACAGCATGGCATCTTATTACACATCTTGTAGAGATGCCATTTATTTAAGTGCCAATGAAATGAAACAGGCTATCACATTAGTTTACTACCAGTGATATTAAAAAGTGCTAATTATACTCTAAGTTAATGGCTTATATTATATTTGGGGATACTTTATTTTTATTGTGCATTCTTTCTTCATTTTATAGTTGCAGATAGACCCATACCTTTATTTTATTTATTTATTTATTTATTTTTATGTGGTGCTGAGGATCAAACCCAGTATCTCTCACATGCTAGGCAAGTGCTTTGCCATTGAACCACAATCCCAGCTCCTATTGTGCATTCTGTTTTAACCGAGATAGTGTAAGTTCTTCATAGAAATCATAAAATGAAGACAGATATTATTGTTCAAAACAATGAAAGGGAAAGAACAACATACCCACTCATTATTCAGTACATAGGCACTGAGACCAAATGATACTGTTCTTCCAAGGCGGGGAGTGGGAACAGGAGAGTTGGTTTATATTTGGTGTGACAGATCAGAAAACAGACAATAAACAGCAAAAATTTGATGTATATTTTAAAAAAAGTGATGTGATGAAATGCCTGGAGATTTACATTAGGTAGTCAGATAAGGCCTCACTTTCTCTGTTGTTTCAAGTGTCATGGAGGTAATTATGTGATGATCTGGGGGAAGAACCAATCAGGTAGAAGGAAGTGTTAATGTCAAGGTTGTTTGGAGGTTGAAGAGAGAAAAAGAAGGAAAGTATATTGGTAATGAGTTCATGGAGGTAAGCCGAGGCCTGATGAGTTAAGATCTTCTAGGACAAAATAGGGGAGATGGATTTTCTTTTCCAGGGTACCAGGGAACAATTGGAGATTTTTAAGCAGGAAAATGTAAGAATAGTACTCAAAGATAAAAACACTAATCAAGCACCTTCATTCCAAACCACCTTTTCAAAAGTTACCTGGCTCTCTTTACATTGCCCTGTTGTAATATGGGCTCAAGAACCTACAAAATTGTTCTCTCTGGCTACTGCTATTGCTGCAAGTAGAATAATCTATTCTTCAACTCTGACTACAGTGTTGCATTTTTTGGCCAACATCCATGAAAATGTGACAGCTTAACTTGTTAGCTTGCCAGTAGGTAAACTCTTTACAGTTCTTGACATATATTACTATTATTGTTAAGCTATAAAATGCCAGTTGTAGTACTAGATGCTTTCATATACAATCCCTACAAAGCTCAAATTTGACTCCATATCATTCATTCTGGCACAGAATGCTAAGTACTTGCTCACTGCAATGAAAGTAATAAAAGGCAGAAAGATTTGAAAACTTGCTACAGTCTATGTTTTCTACCATGTTGCCTTATATTACAGTCACATATGTTAATAGCTATGACAATGTCAGTTATAAAGTCAATATATTCTATGAAGGTAGGGGAAGGCATCATGAAAGAAAATAAACATGGGTTCAAAAATGAGTGTGTGTATGTTAATAAAAAAAAGCTCTTCTGTTTTCCATGTGGGTATGTATAATGGCTACGAAGAATGTATTGTGATGAAGAAACAGGTAAGCAAATATTCAGTAATCAAAACCATTTTTTGGCTAAAGAAAATGAATAAAAACAACCATCAAAAGTTAAGTAATATATCACGCAGCTTATTTATGAAGCTTATTATGGTATAAAATTTGCTGATGTAAATTTTCTACTTTAATAGATGAATATATTTCAAAGTGAATATTTAATATAACATCTATTATCAGAAATAATTGCCACACCCTTTTAGAATTCTACTGGGTTATAACAGGTCAAAATTACTTTGCAAGATCTATAAAAACAATGTTTACATTTAGAAATAAGGTCTGAGGAAGTTCCTAAAGCTATTTTCTTTTAGGGAAAATGCACTATTGATTTTCACTTAAAATTCTGCCTCATTTAAAACTTATCTTATTCTTTTTTTTGTTTGTTTGTTTTTTTTTTAGGAATCTTTTTTTTTTATTTTTTTATTGGTTGTTCACAACATTACAAAGCTCTTGACATATCATATTTCATACATTAGATTGAAGTGGGTTATGAACTCCCAATTTTACCCCAAATGCAGATTGCAGAATCACGTCGGTTACACATCCACAATTTTACATAATGCCCTATTAGTAATTGTTGTATTCTGCTACCTTTCCTATCCTCTACTATTCCCCCTCCCCTCCCCTCCCATCTTCTCTCTCTACCCCATCTACTGTAATTCATTACTCTCCTTGTTTATTTTCCCATTCCCCTCACAACCTCTTATATGTAATTTTGTATAGCAATGAGGGTCTCCCTTCATTTCCATGCAATTTCCCTTTACTCTCCCTTTCCCTCCCATCTCATGACTCTGTTAAATGTTAGTCTTTTCTTCCTGCTCTTCCTCCTTGCTCTGTTCATAGTTGCTCTCATTATATCAAAGAAGACATTTGGTATTTGTTTTTTAGGGATTGACTAGCTTCACTAAGCATATATACTATGCAGCAATAAAAAATGACAAAATCATAGAATTTGCAGGGAAATGGATGGCACTAGAGCAGATTATGCTTAGTAAAACTTATCTTTATTTCTGACACTATATTAGGAAAAGAATTTTTAGGTGGAAAATGCCAACAGCATAGAAAAGGTATTTAGTCTGCAACTAATATCCAGTTGAAACAGTAATTTGGAATTTTCTTTTATGCCAAACATAAAGAAGTAAAATAGCCCAAAATAAAAAAAAAAAAAAAAACAAATGACACTATTTTAGGTACAATGGCTAAACCAGTAATTTGAAATTTTCCTTTAAGCCAAATATTAAGCAAAACTAAGCCAAACATTTAACAAAAATAATCTAAAACAGAAAAAGTAAATATTTATAACATTACAACTGCTTCTTAGTTATTTCACTCACAAATTAAAAACCAGGAAGGAAAATAAAGGTGAGCCAGACATAATGAATGATAACTGGCTATAGGATACTGTCCCTCCATCCCACAACAAATCAATTGAAAAATATATACTCACACTGAACCCACTGATCACTTTTAATTTTTATTTATTCTTTTGGTTATATATGACAGTAGGATCTATTTTGATATATTTATATAGGCTTGGAATATATCTTAATCTAATTAGGATCCCAGTCTTCTGGATATACATGATGGGAAGATTCACTGTGGTGCATTCATATAGGTACCTAGGAAAGTCAAGTCAGATTCATTCCACTGTCTTTCATTTTGCTTTTTGGTACTGGGGATGGAATTAGGGGTACTCAACCACTGAGCCACATCCCCAACCCTATTTTGTATTTTATTTAGAGCAGGGTCTCAATAAGTTGCTTAGCGCCTTGAAGTTCCTGAGGCTGGCTTTGAATTTGCGATTCTCCTGTCTCAGCCTCCCACGACCCTGGGATTACATGTATGCGCCACCTCGCCTGGCTGTCTTTCCTTTTTCTATCATCACTCCATTCCTTTCATTCCTGTTTGTCTAATTTACTGAAATTCTATTCATCATCATCCCCCTCCTTGATGTGGGTGAATCCATACCTCAGAGAGAATATTGGACCTTTGTTTTTTGGTGACTGGCTTATTTCACTTAGCCTGATAGTCTCCAGATCCATTCATTTACCAGCGAATGTCATAAAGTCATTTTGTTCATGGCTGAGTAATATTCCATCTATATCACATTTCTTTATCCATTCATCTGTTGATGGGCATCTAGATTGGTTCCATAGCTTAGCTTCTGTGAATTGTGCTGCTATTAACAGTGATATGGCTATCTCATTTTAACTCCATTGGGTATTTACCAAGAAGTGGGATAACTGGGTCAAAAGGTGGTTCCATTCCTAGTTTTTTTGTGGAATCTCCATACTGTTTCAAGAGTGGTTGCACCAATTTACATTCCCACCAATAAGGTATGAGTGTACTCGTCCCCATATCTTTGCCAAATTTGTTATTTTGTTTTAAATGTTGAAAAAAAAGCATATGTTTAAAATTAGACATCTGGACTCTGTAGATCATTTCAATTTTGTTGGCAAAGTCCAAAGCATCATAATCGAGAGCCTTCTCTCAATCAGGCCTGATTAGGGTGTTAACCTTTCTCATATGAATGTCATAGAACTACATTACAGCGTCTTTGATCTGGTGTTTGTTGGCCTTGACATCCACAATGAACACAAGTATGTTGTTGTCTTCAATCTTCCCCATGGCTGACTCAGTGGTTGGGGGAACTTTATGATGGCATTGTGCTCAAATTCCTCCTGAGGGTGCTCTTCCAAGAAATTTGGGGTGCCTCTAGAGCTGCAATGTCT